AGCGGTGCGGTTAAGGCGAGACGGCCCTGGGAGGAAGGCGCTGGCTGAAGGGAGCGCTAAGGCTCAGCCTCAAGGAGCTGTGTTGTGATCCCGCGGTATGGAGAGAAAAACCCAAACCATCCTGCCCGGAAAGCTTGTGTTGTCTATCGGCAGAGACACTCGCATCCTGAGCGACCTGCAAGACACCCACCAGCCTCCACCGTTGTGCAGTTCTGTTCAGTAAATGAGCCAACAGCCAGCAAAACACGATGTGAGGACAGCGAAACAACTGAAAAAGAATCAGTCCCTCCTTAAACGTTTTTCTTCCCAAAACGAGAGTTTTATACTTATTGTCTTCACCACTCCCAGTTTCTTAGAAATGCTACCAGATGCCGTCAGTGTATTCAATGCGCAAGCACGACTGGTTGTGGATTCTGGGTAAAATTTAACTGCAAGTCCTAAAACAGGTAAGCTGGGCTAATGCTGGTACGGCCCACGTTTCCAGCAGCACGTACAGGTCCGTCCCGAAGCTGCCTGCCTCTCCACTGACCCTCACAGCTGCCAAACGGCAACACCCTCCCAACATCTCAGGCCCCTCAGGAGAATGACTCGAACGGCCAGGGCCCTCCGTGGGTCCCTGAGCCCCTGACGAGTCCTGCGGGGAAGCCGTGGTTGCTTTCCATCCTTTAATCACCCTTAGTCTTGTAACTTTCCTCTCAGCTTTCTTTTGTCCTGAATTTCCAGAGTAAGAATGATAAACACCAGGATTAAATTAACATAAAACGTTCCTTAAAATCAGTATTACACTGATATTACGATTTACCCACCACGACCTACACTTTTTTTCCAAAGCTGCTGCTTCAAAAAACAGATTTCCGTACAGTAGATAGGATCTACATGTTCGACTGGAGATGTGTGGTAGGCAGATTATTACATGCCACCTCTTCAGGACATTGTTTGTTGCACCGTTCTGCCTCAACTAGAGACCTGATCAGGCATGATGGGGTGTTTTCTTTCAAGCCAAACTTCTAAAATACACAAATAGATGGATAATTGTGTGCACATATAGAAAAGAAGCAGAGGGGAAAATCTAATCACTGCACCACCTCACCCCTAGATGAGCTTCACTGTGCAGTTTTGGACAAAAAAACAAATTAAAATACCTCATCTATCAACTACTAGCTAGCCAGTTCCCTCATTCTAGCACAATTCATGTGACTAAATACCTAGGAGCTCATACTTTTCCTCAGTAAAGATATTATAATGCATGAGAACTATTAAGAAATCAAGCTTCAGCAGCTCTACCATTCTGTATAGCAACTAATATAAAAAAAAAATCAGTGACTTCTGGCTTAAGCCCTACTATTCAACAATACAAAGGTACCTTCCAAAGAAGTTGACAAAGATAACATACTAAACCTGTTTGCTCTTCCATATAGATGCACAGAAAATAAAGCTATGTTGATTACTGGTAATTACTCTCTAATTCAAGTGCACATTAGCCATTCCACTAATCTCATCATTGACTGGAAAAAATGAAGTTGAACACTTGACATCCGGCAGAATGTGGAGAAGCTGATCATCTTCTAGTTCCATTTCAGATAAAATGGACAATTATTACCTTTGGGACAACACTGAAGAGGAACTAACAATGCTAATGAGAACCAGTATGCATAAAAAATTACTTAATGGAAACAGGAAGCAGAAACAAAGAGCTGGGACTTTAAGCAGCTAGAAAGAGGAGAACAGTAACTTGAGCCATGACTTTTTTACTTGTGACCTGGCTTTTTAGTTTGCCCATGCAACCTTACAAAGGAAGTAAGATCATAAAGAAATCCACAGATGCTGCCACTGGTGATACCGAGAGGCACCGGTGAACGTTACAAGCCCATCTGTAGAGCAGTTGTCGCTAGTACCAGAATGCCAAAGGATATTAACGGACATCTCCATGTTAGGTCACTGACCTCTAACCAAACCAACCTACTCCGAAGTCCTCCCGTCCCCAGCTATTTTGGGCTGTTAATATCTATCTCTGTATAAAAAATTAATTTATTTCGCTAAGAGGAAAATACAAAACACTTAGGATAAAGACTTAATATTACTTCTTCAGAAGTCTCTCTTTACAGTGAATTCAGAAGTCCAGAAGACAGCTAAAAACACTGATCACGGCCCTTCAGCAAGATGCAGAAAAAGCAAACTCTGTGTCGTCAACTAAATACTGACTCGATTGTAAAAGAAACACTATAGAAGAAAATATGCGAGTTTTTCTCCTCAGAAGTTGGTATATGTTTAACACCTCAGGCCAGACAGAAGTACAGTTCGAAGTCCAACTGAAAACAGTTACAGCAGTTCAAGCTGTCACGGGGACGTTAGTCCTTTTCCTCCCACTGCTACAGTCTCTAGTCCCAGTACATCAGGACCTTTGTTTACTAGCTCCTTCTCTTGCTAGTCTATCAGCCTCTTCGTTTCCTGGGAAGCCAGCATGACCGGGAATATGCATCTGTTAAGACAAAAGTACAGGAGCGTTAGATATGCAAGAAATCAAGAAAAAAATACATACATGAAATTTGATCATGCCAACACCCTTTCATTCCTAGTACTGTAGCAGCACCTTAGAGGCCCTCTCCTCACATTTAGCCCTTCAGTGTTCTTCCCAGGAATGCTCATAGTCTCCGTTCCTCTAAGGAACTGCTGCCAAATCGTGAAAACCACCTTTATGGGAAGCAGTGAACTGGATAAGGACCATCTAAGCTAGCGCTTAAGAAATGAAGACAACAATGCCAACTCAAAATTCCCACTTCCAGGGAAGAGAAGAAACCTAGCTGCATTCAGTGCTTAAACCAAGTTAATCTTTTCCCAGAAAGCCAGAGACCTGTATGCTACTAACAGCCTTGGTGGTTACAGCACTCACTTAGGATACAGAAACAGGACATGAAAAGAATCTCTGTTTTCAGATGTCTTAACTGTCCATCCTTCAACTAGGAACTGAAAACACTTTCAACCCTAAGCTCACCCTTGTCAGAAATAAGGGTGAAGGAGCACAGGGGAGGAAGGAGAAGAAGAAAATCAAGCTTGCTACTTGACAAGATCCAAGAGGGGACAAGCGTGAAGTATGTGCGAGATGGTACTAGGTTTACATGGCAAGGTTTTGGTACCACGTGGGGGACTGCAGGGGTGGCTTCTGTGGTAAGAGGCCAGGGGCTGCCCCCGCAGCGGAGAGAGCCAGTTCCAGCTGGCTCCAGAACAGACCCACTGCAGGACACAGCCGAGCCCATCAGCAAAGCTGGTGGCTCCTCTGTGGTAACGTATTTAAGAAAGGGTAAAAGTGCTGCACAGCAGACAGAAAAGTGAGAACATGTGAGAGAACCAGCCCTACAGACACCAAGGTCAGCGAAGAAGGAGGGGGGAGGAGGTGCTCCAGGCACCAGAGCAGAGATTCCCCTGCAGCCCACAGAGGAGACCAAGGTGAGGCAGGCTGTGTCCCTGCAGCTCATGGAGGTCCACGGTGGAGCTGATCTCCACCTGCAGCCCGGGGAGGACCCCACACCTCAGGCAGGTGCATTACTGTATTAAACTGTATGCGTGCATTGCTCCTCTTGAAATAAAAATCTTCCCCAGTTTAAGAGATTCAGGTGCAAGAAGTGTGCATAAAGCAACAATATATATTTTTTTAATTATGTCAAATACTCTAAGGATGAGCTGCATTTTGGTCTTAGTTTTAAGTTTTTACACTTTCTTCTCCTCAACAGACAACAAGATGTATGTTATATAAAATCTAGTCAACCTTTAAATTGGAGTCACCAACTCTAGAACACAGAACAACATGAATGGAAGAGTATCTGCAATAGATTTCCTACAGAAAAAGTGCATATTAAAGATCTAAGTCATCCTATTTTCTACAGAGTAAAGACAGAAGCCAAATAAATATGCCATTAGCAGCCAGGAAGTCAATGGTACAGAGATTTATTTCTAGAATCAGTCATCTTATACCACAATTAGAGTAAAATATAGAAGGAGGGGAGGGAAGATATCCCCTGCAATGTTTAGCACTGATGTTAGAGGTTACAGAAAAATACATTTTACCAGGTATACCTGTATAAAAATTGGTTTACTTATTTACTGGAGAGTGAAACAACTTAAAAATGGGTATTTTAAAAGACCTTTCTGTGCCCAGTTTTCTTGGAATAAATGCAGTTAAGGTAAAGAAATCTAGAGTTAGTTTATTAGTTTTCCCAGTTTAAAGACACTCATGTGACTGAGTTACACCAACGAATCAGCATCTTATATAGTTCTGAAAAACAAATCCAGAAATTCAGCTATGACTCAAAAAGACAGTTATATTTTAAGCTTTGATTTCCAGGAACAGAAGTTTCATCTACTAACAGTACTAACAAACTACAAATTATTATTGCAGGCATTTTCTAAGTAGTAACAAGAGACTGAAAACAAATAAAAGCGTGCATTTTAATAAATTAATTACTGGTTTCAAGAGCCTAAGTTATGTTGCTTATTTGCTTTAAATAAAACAAGCAGCTTCTCTGTATTTATGGCTTTACTTATGGGTGTACAATATTATGGTCTATAAAATTCTTACTTATGGTCATACTTGCAAGTTTTTACAAGTGTGTTTAAGATGTCATTAAGAATAAGAAATGAGGTGCTTACCCACTGAATTTCTATGCCTTTTGATAGATTATCAAGTCTTTCAAAATCTTCTTTATTTATTACACTTCCTCCTGAACTTGTTCTCCAGCCATTTGTTTTCCAGTTGTCAACCCAGCTCGTAATACCTATGCAAAGGGAGCATTACCTAACAACGCTATTAAAGAAGCCAACAAGGACCAAGATGGAGCTAACAGCTTTTTAACAAGACATTAACTCTGTACAAGTCTCAGACAAAGACACAAGACAGAAGATATTCTTGTTCAGTTCTCTACTCAAGATTCCATTATTACTTGAATTACCTGACCATGTTTTCCTGAACAGATATTTAATTTAAAGATTACAATCTTATATATGCCTTACACACAAAATATGACATGACCTTCAATAAACTGAAGCTAAGGATTTCCTTGATGGTACAGCAAGCTAGAACAAATCTACGGCTTTGTTTTGAGAAACTGAAGAGACACACATGAACAGAGGAAAAACAGATGGCCACCTGCCTTATGCCTTCTGCACTGTAAACAGAATCCCTCAGAGAAGGACCACGTAAGCAGATTTCTACAGAACGTGATTTAACATTTTGGCCATCCTTTGCTGGCCAGATAGTCTAGTGTATTACTCCTTAAATAAGGATTTTTTTTATTTTTTTTTTTTTTAATATCTTTGCTGGTCTCGCCAATGTAAGACATCCTTACTGCTTTCATGACAAACAGACCCAAACCAAACAGAGAATCTTGCACGCCAGACCTCCTAAAAACCAAACCAAAGCACATCCAGTTGTACTTAACTGCAAACTTCCCTCTCTGGTTATTTTGAAAAATAACGCCTAGACGCATTTAGAAAATAACTTTGATTGAACAAGAGTGGGACCTGCACCTCAGTGACCCAAAGTGCAAGAGCAAACTGCAAGCAAAAGCTGTGATATTTTAGTCTGAGAGTCTTCTTTTCCTCCCTCATACTTAAGTCTCACACCTAAGTTTAACAGGAATCTTATCCAATACAGCACCATTTCCTCCTTCATAACACCAGTTTCACAGACAAGATGGTATAGACTTTTCTCGCACAAAGCAAAGAAGTGCAAAGATGTTCCTTTGACCCTTGATACTTCGAATAACTTGCTTGTGGCAACAAATTATGAACTTGGATTCTATTAAAAGCATGCAACACTCAGCGCGGAAGAGCAGAGACTCCTCCTTTTACTCTTTCCTTTTTCAGAATGCTTCTAGCAGGGACACAAAAAAAGAGAAAAAAAAATCCAAAACAAAAATCCACATATGTTCTGCTCCTATAGTAAACGCTATACCTAAATCTTTTGTGGAGAATAAGCTACTCAAATGAGAGGTTTATGCGATGATCCTTAGGGAGAAGGAAAGGAAAAGTCCTTTAAGTTGTTTCCCAACATTTACTGTCCCTTCTTCAACTTATGAACTAGAATCAGGAGGGCAGAGCACAAGTCCTTGACACTTTTCACTTCTGGACAGAACCTCTTTCATGCACATGCAAGCTAACAGAATTTGAGACAAGCAGCAAGTGACAGCTCCAGCAACTCCTTCCGTGGCTAGCAGTCACTTGCTCCTACTCTGTAGCTTTCTGTCCTTTCTAGGGCATTGCTACTCAAGGCTGTCAACATCAGAGCTTTTTCAAGATAAGTTCTGCTTTAATTCTAAACACGAGCCACCTGAAAAAAGAAAAAAAATGATGCTCTTCGTTTGTACACCTCCACTTTCAGAAATCAAAGGGTGCTTCTGGAAAGCAGAATGACTTATGTGGAGGAAAATATACACAGATTTTTAAGATACAAACCATTCCTTTGCTTTATTAATAACAAGCAATGAAACAGGTAATTACTTTCAGTGTTAGCGCTCAAGTATAGGAAGTTACACTAAGAACAAGACACTCACATTCCTCCCTCACCTCCCCCTCCCCCCCCAAAAAAAACAAAGTGTGAAAGCAGAACATTTAATTTTCAAAAGTTGCAGTAATTTTTTGGTTGCTGTTATTTCAAAAAAAAAAAAAAAAAAAAAACCAAAAAAAAAAAAAATCACAAAAAACAACTCCAAAGTGATCTGGAAACAGTAAATACATGTACTCCCATTGTAAAAACGTGAAATACAACGAAAAAAATACTTCGGCAGTTCCAAATTATCACAGAAGTAAAGCTTGAAGATCTCAGG